GTATTCTTTAAAAATTTAGTTCTTTGAACTTTCCAGCTTTATTTCCTTTTTAACTCCTCATTTTATAGACATTTCCTCATTGGAAATATTTTAAAAAAAAAAATCCCAGGCAATTTTTGTTTACTATAACTTAAAGTGAATAGCACTGTGGTCACGGTTTCTAATTTGCTCAGTGGTGTTTTAACTCACACTACATTTTGAGCTCTATATAACCTTATGTCATGCCTCTTTTATTTATTTATTTATTCAGTTTGGATGTCACCCAACTCCAATGGACCCTGGTGACTCACAATAGAGAAACATTATATCACCAACTGTTCTAAGGCAGAATTATAAAAATGTTGTAACTTCATCATGACCAAGACATGCTTGTGCCCGGTAGATGTAAACATAGGTGAGGGTTCCCAAAACTATAACTATTTCTGGGGGGCCTTTCTGATTTTTTTTCTTACTAAGATTAAAGTGTTTTGGTCAGGGTTTATCCCAAATACAAATTATTTTAGAACGATATTTTAATCTATACAATCTCTATAAAGAAATCCGTTTCTGTTGAAGTTTCTTCTTTGTCCTATATTGTGATCTCTTAGATGCATAGAAAAGCATAATTTCCAAGCCTTTTTTAATAGCATTTAGATCAGGGGTCTTCAGACTTGGCCCTTTTATGACTTGTGGACTTCAACTCTCAGAATTCCTCAGCCAGGCATGCTGGCTAAGGAATTCTGGGAGTTGAAGTCCAGAAGTCATAAAAGGTCCAAGTCTGAAGACCCCTGATCTAGATTGATGGAATACCATATCCCTTTCATTGTCTCCATTCTACCCCATTCAGCACTAGGGCAGAAATATATAACAGTCACTAAGTGGTCAATATGAGGATTATGTTGATGTCTGCACAGCCACACTCCCAAATGGGTGGGCCTGGATTCCTTTTGTACTTTTTATTATCTTATTGCTTATATTTGACTATTGTATAAATTTTGTTACCATAAAGTTGTAGGATTTTTAACATTTTAAAAAAATCTCCAATGATTTTAAATGATTTTTAAAAGGCTTAGGGGAGAAGGGGAAGCAGTTGGAGGGAACAGAAATTGAAAGCTGAGAAGGGTCAGATGGGGGGAATCGGGGAATACTGTAGGAGGCCTATAAGGATATAGAACTCTATCAGGCCATGGCAGAAGATTAACTTTACAGAGAAGAGGCAAAAGATAGCATGAGTTTAAACTCATGGTCCTATGGCAAGACCAAGAGATACCTACACTTGCACGATTTGATTTCCAGTCTGTTTGGGACCTTGCTCTCACCTGCTTTTTTAAGTCCAAGCTTTGCTAGTCCTCTTTTGAGTTTGGGCAGGAATGTTGCATACTTGAGATGATTTGTACTTTTGCTAACTAGGACAGTGCCAGCTGAAGGACATAGGTTGATTTGATCATGTATTTGACCAAAGTAAAAAGTACAGGGAAGGCATCCTGCTCTATTTTTATGATGATACACTGACAAGAGTTATGGAAGCTATGAAGACAATACATAATTCCTCTGTAATGAGAAAAAACTGCCACATGCTTATACACATATGAAGTGCAGGAATCATGGATGTAGGTCAATTTACCCTGAAGAATAAAAGGATTTCTCATTGATATTTTTATAGATTTGGTTATTCGTAGTAAAGATTGCCCTAATTTACCCAATGTAGTTCATCTAATATTTACTCTATTTCTGCCTATTTGTATTATACTGTATATTATATAGCAATAGGTACAACATTACATGGTATTTCCTTTATAATACCTAATTTAAAATACTTGTCTTTTTTATAGCATCATCTCTTTTTTCCAGTGTTATATTGGTTGAAAGTTATTACTTTCACAGTTATTGCTATTAGATAATTGAGGTATATATTACATATTTATTACACAGGGTGAAGATAATTGCTTCTTTTAAATACTAAAAAAATGTATATCTTTTGTATAAGGTTGAGAGAAATGTAAACATAATGTAGTTCTTCCTTCAAAAACAGTGGGTGACATGTTTATGTCTTAGCTTTGTGAAAGGTGGAAAAAATCTTTGTAGTGGTTACTGCTTGTGTGTCTGAACTGAGACCTTGTAAAGATCCCCACCTAGACTATTTATTTTATTTAACTTTTAACTAAAATCAGGATCCTACATTGGTAATATATTTATATGTATACTTAAGAAAATAGCTGTATGTGTAGTATTTTTGTCAGGCTATAAAAAGCTGTAATTCCAAATTTTAAAACCTCTTAAGTCCAACAGGTGCTGAAATGATCTTTTCAGTTGCCTACATTTTCACACATAGAATGTTCAGAAATTGTTGTCTGATAAATTCCACTATATTTTGTCCTTGAATCTCTCTTAGTTGTGCAGACAACAACTAAGAAGAATTTGTATCTTAAGTTCTACCAATTCAAACTGAAAGTAATGCATTCACAAAAAATGAATTAAATCAAATTCTCCTTAAAAAACATGAAAGAGAAGCATTCTAGTTTATCCTGTTTTCTAATATCCTATTTTTTGTATGTTTCCTAGGTTCTGCATATAGCTTGACCACTTTAATATGATCTAGACTTCTCTTACTAATATCATATTCCTGTCTCCTAGATTGGAAAGTTTCTTACTATTTCTATTTCACTCAATGCTTCACTCCTTTGCTCTATGTTGCGAAGATTACTGCAAGCTTAGGATACCCCCCCCTTCTTTATTGATATGCTTCAACCCATTTACCCCAATTCTTTTCTCTCTTCTATTGCTGTAATTTGGGAGCTGTTCTTCTGAAGTATTGCCAAGTCAGTAAGTGTATACTGAAAACTAAAAGAGGGTCAAAACTTATGTCTTATGACCTTTATCCTAAAAGGGTATCAGGTGTGATACCTCTCTAAAGAATCTTGCTGGTAATCTCTTGTTGAGTGGGAGTGTCTGCTATAAACATTTCCTCCCAGTCTACCTTTCAATGGCACTTCACAGTACACTGAAAATTATCAGGGATAGTTAATTATTGGCCTCTTGGAACAACCCACCCACTTTGATTCAGACGTACTTTTCCCAATATTTAAGAAGGTTATTTAGCAATGATACAGTATAATTACAGAAAATAGTTTGTTTTGGTTAACGTTTTTGTGTTTTGTATGTTTGGTTTACAAGTCTAAAAAACAGCTTCAGTTTCAAACTTTAAACAACTCAGCGTATGAGCAGAATTTAAACTGCTGAATGCCAGGAATCAAGATTTGCCTGTTAAAACTATGGAAGAATTGTATCACTGAAACTCATCAATAAAGGAACTTGTGATAGGAAGCTGGTGCCACTGTATTTAGAGCTGGGGTGCTCAATTAATTTTCCTAAGGGGCCACCTGAGAGAGTGGGACAGTTGTGGAGGACCAAACCAATAGGGCAGTGAAAATGCGTAGGCGTGCATTCATGCACATATGTAATTTTTTTAAAAATAGCAGTCCCCTCCAGAATAAAAGCAATGCAGTTGTATTGCATGCAAGGCATGCACTTATTTACATTTGATTTCTAATTTCCAATTGACCTCATGCAGGCTGGACAGGGACAGCCAAAGAGACAGACGGATATGGCCCAGGGGCCATAAAATTCCCAGGTCTGATTTAGAGTGAAGATATTCTTACACATACATACCCCAATTCCAAAGCCTACTTTATAGCTGTATCTAATCGTCTGTACCTCAATATATTCTGTATTATAAATAAATCTTGAGGGCTAGGACAAAATAGAAAGAGTATAATGCTAAAGGGACAAAGAATCAAAATGCTCTGGCTGTAATATTTTTTTCTAGTAATTCATAATATTATGATACTGTTCCCAGCTAGAGCAGCTTACTAGAAAAAGTTATACCGTAGGTACAGCTGCCTTTACAAGTTGAAAACTTCAAGCAACACAAAATGGAGCTCCCTTGATATTGATTGAGTTGATTAGCTCCTCAGAGGTCTTACATTAATTTTAAACCTTGACTGTCTGAATCTCCTGCAGATGGCTTTTGAAGGTAATGTAATTTGAGTGCCATATTTTTGAAGATTTGCTTTTTCACATTTGTGTTTGACTGTGAATTAAGATTTTCCTCAGTTTATTTTAGAGATAGTGGAGGGTTGCATATGATAGGATCTTCTCAGGAATAATACCAATCTTATGGAATTCCTGCCCTGGCCTTCTTCCTCACCAACGAGTCAGGTTAGAGAATTCTACAGAAATTTGGATCTACAATACATAGATTTTTGGTCAATGTGTGTTGTTTTTCTAATTTTCTAAAACAAGAACATATACAAGCTCAGAATTACTATAACAGTAGAATTATCTATCCTGTTATAGAATATCATGCACTTTTGTTTGCTTTTATATTTACTAGATTTACCTCATGTGTTGCTCCCAGAGCTCAAGGCAGCATTTGGGGGGGGTATCTTTAATTTTATCCATACTGTAGCAACCGTATAAATGACTAGTCCAAATAATGAACTCATGGCTAAGAATGAACTTGAATATGTCCTGGTCCAACACCTTAATTACTATACTGCACTCATTTCTTGTGATTGATTACGCACTTTCAAATTCTTCTGAGATCTTATTCTTGTTATATTAAAAAGAATAATCAAAATAAATTATTCTGGAGTAATTGGAGTTTCTTAATGGCTAGTAGCAATGTATATAAAAGACTTTGACTATGTACAACCTCTAGATTGTTGAACAAAACCAGTGAGAAAGTACTTTTATGTCATGTCCTATTCACAGGTTTCTTACAGGCATATGGTTGATTAATATTGGATTCGGGACACTGAGATATAACATACCTTCTTACACGACTCCAAGGCACAATTACCCATCATTCCATTATACTACAGTTACATTTATTTCTCTCCGTAAGATTTTCTATTCTCTGTGCTGCTGAAATGAAACATAGTGCCCTCTGTTGTAAAATGGTACTTTTTCCATTGTTTAAAATAATAGTCCTGTTTTGTTCAATTTCTGCTGTTTCATAGGAAAAATTACTTGCTATGCAACAAGAGAGAGAAACTGCCATTCATCAGTATAAAAATCTAGAAGAAGAACTGCAGACTCTTCGTATTTATTACAGGTAATGCCATTTCTATTATTTTTATTTTTTTATTTATTTTATTAAATTTATATGCCATCCATCTTGCTCTCCAAAGCGACTTTGGGCAGCTTACTATACAATGCAATACAGCTGTAAATGTGGAAAAATAATGCAACATTATTCCTAAAGATTACAAATATGCAAGGCAAAAATGAATTAATAATTCCAGAATTCCAGTCCATATCCATTTTTCCTTTTAATATCATTTCAGTCTGACAAAAGCTGTAGCCACAATTTAGTCCCATGCATTGTCCTTTGGCTTGAAATCTATAGGATGGCACTTTTCAAGCCTTATTGTATTCCAAATGCCAGTGAACAAGTATCAAAAAAGCAGGAAGCATTTCTGATGTAACATAATTTCTTGGACTGGAGGCTAGTTTCAGGGGACGTCTGGTTTGTAGATCTTAGGTTACAGATTGCCAATGTCAGTCAGTATCAGGGCTGTTACTTAAGCTACTGCTACATCAGATTCAAATATCTTCTCCTTTTCAGTATTCAAACTCTGTCTGCTTATGTCTGCTGCTTAAGGTTAGGATCATAATAAGAAAAATGAGAAAGAAAAATATATTCATTTTCTTAGATAGAAAACGTTTTGCAAAGGCATAAAGAATCACCAAAGTTTTATCCCACAGTTACATTGGGAATATATAGCTTGCCACAGTTTGGCTTATCCATTCCAGTCCAAACCTTTGTCTATTTTGCTGGAATATTGGCTGAGATTCTAGCTGACTTAAATGTTTCTAAGTTATATGCAATATATTAACAACAGCTAAGATTTTAATTCACCATCTAAGGGCATTGCTTCAAATCTCTAACAATTAAGGAAAAGCTTCCAAAGAGATGGCCTATTGCCTTGATTACAGATTGTTTGCAAGAGGATCAATTAATATGTTGGTTTATAGACAATGGACATAGACATAAACCATAACCATAAACCATTCTTTCTTCTAGCTTAAATCTATTCATAGATTTCAGAAAGTGCTTGTTTTAAATGTTCGGCATGTTAAAAGAATTTTTAAAAATCATAGATTTGAAATGGCCCACTTAAGCCACTTGGTCCAACTTTTTGCTCAATATTGAAATATAAATTATAGTCTTGTGACAGATTGCTGTTCAGCCTCTTCCAAGTGATTCTAATGGTGAGGTCCTCTTATTGTAATGAACTTTTCCATGACTCAACTGGAATTTGCCTCCCTGTAATGTAAGTCCATAATTCCATGTTATACACTTTGGGACAATAAATAACAGGTTTTAACTTTTCTGTATGTGACATCCTTAAGCTATATCTTTGAGCCCTATTTGCACATAATGTGCAGGTATATGGGACAGGTTTTTCAGCCCAATTTGGCATCAACAGGAATTATTCTGGGGCAGCTGCCAGAGACAGATGCCATTACTACCTTCCTTAGGAACTCTATTTTTTAAACATACTTTTAAAAAAAGAGTGAGGTATGGTACTCATGCAGCAGGGTCTATGAGCTGTCCCTTAAATTCTCTTCATCATTTCAGAATGACAGTAGTTCACTGGCATTGTGGGTAATGAATAAGGCACCCATTCAGCTCTTAACAAAGTGCTTTTGCTGTTTGTGTTAGAATAAGGATTCAGAGCAGAGATTCTCAGACTGTTTATGCATTAATCACTTAAATGTTTGTGGTAGACTTTGTCAACCTTAGTTAAAACATAGTATATATATCAAAGCTTTAAATATACAAATAGTCTCTGAATACTTTTCAAATGTATATTTTTCAGTATCATCATCTTCATTATTATTATCTTCATTATTTTATTTAATGAATATTCATAGGCCTAGATTACTCTAAGATGTTTCTACAGTTTTAGGGGAAATATTTTTGTAAATATTATATTATGAAAAGCACAAATTAAGACAGGCACTATTAGCTTTTTCTGTAATCCAACCCTGGTCAAACAGCTTCAAAATTGCTACCATGAAGAACATTTTGACAAAGTATGACAAGAGAGTCAAGAATATGTTATTCTAAATTTAAATTTATTTAAAAAAAAAGATTTCTAAAAAAATAATAAAATCTATTTTATGTAAGAAGGAAAGAAGTAGGGTCAGAAAGTGCAAAAGGGGGTTTATCCCAGCTCTGTAAAAAATTGAATCTTGGTGAAATGAATTCTGTTTGTTATTATTCATGAACAGTTTTTATTAATCTGATTCAATAATGGAGAACCATTGAATACTTTGCCTAACTGTCATAAACTATATATTGCCAGTTAAAATATTCTAATTTTCTAACTGCTATATTTTCTTGGCAGTGATTAATGCAAATAATAAAAACTGGATAGGCAGGTAAATTATAATCCTTCTTCCTGTCAAAGGGAACACAAAAAATCATAAAGATATTGCAATATATATATATATATATATATATATATATATATATATATATATATATATATATATATATATATATATATATATTTTGTAGGCTTTTTAAAAAGAATGATTAATCCCCCAAAAAGTGGGATTATTTTTATATGAACTATACAAAGCCTTTGAAAGAGGTGCCTTGCAATGCACAGGAGACGGTAAGAAGGATCTCTTTTTGGATTATTAAAGCAGCCATCTCTTTTGCAAGGCTCATGCAGTTGCTTTGGAAGCTGTTTTGTGTGCATATGAGAAATTGGGGCAGGTTTGTTTTAACAATGATTTAATAATTCATTGTTTTAATATATCAGTGCTTTAACAAGTGGAAAATAGGTGCTTTGTATGTGTCCTCCTTCTTTCAAAGACTTTGCACTCCTGTGTCTGTTAATGCCAGGCCCACTGGGTAGACCAGCAACGTAGCTAATTTCACAGGAAGGCTAAAGCTGCTTTTAAGATTGGCTGTAAGAACAGAATCTGATTTGGCTATACTTTCCCTTGCTTCCTATAGTCTAGTGAATTAGGGAAGTGTCTGTTTGAGCTATTTTTGAACATTATCTCAACTGTCTGGACTTTGAAAATGATTTAGCCATTGAAATGACCAGATGCACAAGTCTCAGCAAGTTGCTCATTTAATTTACCAGCCAGTACCCTGGACCTATCCAATCTTCCATGCCATGCCCTTTTTCTTTACAACCTTATTGATGAACTCACAGACTACTTGACTACTTGATTTTCAAAGTGATGGCTTAAGAAAAATGTCATGCCTTGCTACTAGCTCTTGGGAAGGAAATAAACAAGCTTTCTATTCATGCAAGTATTAAATGTAGCAAACAATAACAACAAGTCAAAATTCAATAAGTTTGCCAGGCCAAGAAAAACATAGAACAATCTAGCCAAAATTCAGTTGCTTATTTGCTCGCACCCTATAAACAGAATTTTGCCAGACCTATTTTTATTACAAAATTTATATCCACCCTTCACAGTGTTCTGGGTAGTCTTGGAAATCGGACATTCTAGCAGAAACCAAATATGCCATTGAGCTATTGAAGTGATCTAATTATAGCAAAGAACTGATGATAATATCTTCCATATCCAAATCACATGTCCTTTGCTCAGAGGAAATGACCACAAAACCTTGTAGTCACCTATATGAGTAATGCTACTACTGAGACATGCTTGTGGTTACTAAGAAAGCTATGAATTCCTGAGTCTTTTCGGACCCTACCTCTAGAGCAGGGGTTCTCAACCTTGGCAACTTTAAGACGTGTAGACTTCAATTCCCAGAATTCCTCAGCCAGCAAAGCTGGCTGAGGAATTCTGGGAGTTGAAGTCCACACGTCTTAAAGTTGCCAAGGTTGAGAACCCCTGCTCTAGAGCATGGAAATTGAAGTTTCCCAGGGAGAATCCTACAGTAACCCTGTGACAAGATCAAAGATCTCAGAAAGGCATATTGCTGGCTAGCAAGATGAACAATCAACGGTTTCCCTAATTAGTCTCTACAGCCCAATTTATATCAGTCATCTATAGAGTCAGGCATATAATAACCACACAGACTCTCATGCAAGATTATTGCAACCACATCTCTGGCCTGGAAACAGTAGCTGCTAAAGTAGTCAAAACCTGAAGGACAGATCTCCAATAGGGGAACATCCCCATCCTTGTCTTTAGGAGCCATGGTGGCACGGTGATTAGAATGCAGTATTGCAGGTTAACTCTTCCCCCAGCGAGGAGTTCAATCCTGACCGGCAGAAGGTTGACTCAGCCTACCATTCTTCTGAGTTGGTAAAATGCGAACCCAGATTGTTGGGGCAACATGCTTGGAGAGTGCTGTAAACCGCTTGGAGAGTGCTGTAAAGCATTATAGAGCAGTATATAAGTCTAAGTACTACTGCTATCCAACTTGGGGGGGACATATAGAACTAGAACATTTGCTCACACTGAAATGAATTTGTCAATGTGGTTATTTTGTACTGTTCTCTTTACTCCTTCTGTATGTCTGTCTATCTTCATATCATTTTGGAGATCTCTTTGTAGAATAAAGATGAGAATTATTTACTGCAAAAACATGCATAGATTTAAAAGAAGGTATTATATACAATAGAAATGGTATTTGAACTTGACAGTCTCATTTTGTGCTTTAGACTGCTCCACAAAAGATCCATTCCACTTATACAAGGTGGGAGGCTAAATCCTGGGAAGGAATAATCTTTTTCTCCTTTGCCATTAAGAGGAGGTCTCTGTTTAACCACTCTCTGTTGTGGGACACAATGTGATATGTCTCCATTTATTCTGTTAATATGAAAGAACTTAACTTAGTGCAACTTGATACAGCACAATTGAAATAGTGCGAAGAAAAAATAAGGTAGCGCTAGGTGTTAAATTATATCTTAATACGATATCATTTTAAAAACCAGTGTTCGCAATGCCTTTTTATGTATTTTAATCTTAGGAAGTTTCTGATGATGTTTAAAAAAAGACTGGGAAGTTCTCAACAATCAGTTACTCTATTCATTTACTAACATTGCATGCACTAAATTCTAGATTATATATATGGCATACAAAATTCACATTAAACTATGATACTAG